AATCTTTACTCTTTACTCAACTTGAACTTTAAGTCTTAAAACATTTGGAAAAGACTTTTGGAAAACTCTAAGAACTTCTCCTCACTTGACTCTTACTTCTTTTGACTTTGATCCTAACTTTCCTTGAATTGAATTATGGATTTAAGGTTCATGATTTCATGATGTTTAGATGTACCTTAGAGTGTTGGAATCAACTAGAAAACATAGGTACATTGCTAAGGAACAAGTACACAAGATTGGGGAAGAAATGGAAAGAACTGGCGATCTTGGCGCTCTGAGAGGCGCAGGGAGCCAGAGCACAAACTTCAGAGCTGAAGTTGTGGAGCTCTGGCTGGCGTGTCGCCCCAGAGCCCAAACTTCAGACTCTGATGTGGGGCGCTCAGAGAGGCGCGGCGCCCCAAGCCCTTGCCCAGAAAATTCCCAATTTTTCTTGCTCGTTTTTCATCTCTAAACTTCAATGGTTCTTTCCCCAAACACTTAGAATCATTTGTACCCTCAATATACATCAAATTCTACTCGAAAAACACAACTAACAACATGAATCAATCTCAAGAAAACTCCAACAACATAACCCACAAGAATTCAAGCGAATTTCATCAAGAACTCAAGGATTTACTTTCAAATCTAATAACTTCGCTGAAATTGAATCATGATTGGAGCGTGGGTGAACTAACCCAACGCTATGTGATCTCACTTAATTGAATTCCAAGAGTACTGAAATTGGTTGAACAAACTCAGCAAAGGTTATATATATGTAACTGTACATTGATGTTGTTTTAGTAGTTGTTTCCGCGCCTCTTTATTTTTGCCTTCAATCTGAAGAACCTGCTTCACTTTGTCAATCATCAAAATTTGTTTACAATGTTGACCTGTTATCACTTATCAGAGGCAATGATGATGGTAATTTTGTGTTCAAAAATTGTGATATGTTGTGTTTTAATCTAATAAGCATATGATTAAAATGAATAGACGAGATCTTAAAGTTCAGTATTAATTTAAACAATTTAACATGAGTAATAATATAAGAAACTAATAATATTATTTTATTACTTTAGAAGAGGATAAACTTTGTGAGATCATGAATACTTCTTTTGATTGATATATTTTGAATAATCCAAGTAGATTTTTATTTATTTCTCCATAATTACATGTTGTATACTTCCTTTTACTGAGAATCTGTATGCTTGGAAACATATATTCATTTGGTATTTGATATTATTCCTCTATGTTTATATATTATATTTTAGTCTAATACTGCTCTAAATTTTGTTTGCTATTCTAATTAAAGAATTTAGCAATATCAACTATTTATATCAGTAGTGTGCATTACAATTCAATAATCCAAAAGGTAATATATCTGCTAAATTGAAGTAGTGTTTATTTTTCCTATTTCTCCTTCTTGCATGTTGAACTTTAATTTGTAATAGTAAATAATTAGCCTAATTTACTTATCATTAGTACATGAGGCTCCCAAGTTAGGAATACTTAATTTGTTATTTAGCTAGCTTCTTTGTTTCATGCCTAATTTTAGAGATTGTTCCACTCATATACTTCAATCAATCAAGTACGACAAAATAAAAATAGGTTTAGTATAACTAGTATCGACTTTGCCATTAATTTGTTGCTTAAAGAACAAAAATTTTCACATGGTTAATTTTACATCGCACGTTTAAGAGAAATAAAAGAATATACAATAATATACCCAGTGTAATCTCAAAAATAGGGGTTTGAGGAATGTGTACCTGTGCAGACCTACAATATCTATCTTAAAAGTAAATAGATTGTTTTCGATAAACTCTCGGCTTAGGAAAAATCATCCAAAATAGTCTAGGAAAAAGGTAATAGATATACAAAAATATCATATAGTAGCAGGACAATAACTACAACAAAATAATATGATAGTCAAAAGTACAAGCAACCATAAATAGTGACAAAAACTGGAGGAGAAGAAACTATCTACCCTAATATACGTCCTCCACAAAGGAATATACACCATGAATATAGTTTATACGAAAGTTTTTGGTGAGATACATTTAGGTTCAGACTATATCGAGTTATCTTAACGTTGGCAAACATGTCACAATTCAATGACCAACCCCTTTCACAAAAATATTTAATTTACTCTATTCTTATATATATAATTTTTTACTTAATTATTTATAAATAATATTGATATTCTTTTACAAAAATATATGTACAATCCAACATGAAGTGATGACCAATTATCTTGACCACCTGAGCTGATAAGTACATGCAATGTACGTGTCGAGAGACTAATAAATAAAAAAAATAACAAATAAAGTGGTTAAGAGAGAATATTGAACAAATAAAATAAGACGAAAATAGTATCGCACAAGAAAATAATTTTATATTAAATAATAAGGATTGTAAAATAAGTACTATTGTGTTAAGGATTTTGAAATTGTAAAATAGAATTGTGCTATATAAGTGAATGATTCGTTATTCAAGTGAATGACTTATCATTCAAGTTATCAACCCTTTTAATAAATTACAACTTATTTAACTGCTTCTTAATTTATGGTAACTATTTGAATTTTATAGAGCTGTAAATTTCCATATATTAAAAGTAACTAAATAAGGAAATATTGAATATAATTTGTCCTACTACCACTATTAACAGGAAAACAAAAAAATTAGGAAACTAATGTCCTATATAACTCTACACTCACAAAACACGCTCTCAAATTATTCCAAAAAACAAAAAAAAAACAGTCTGAAATTGTTCTGTAATGGCGGAAAATCAAGAAGCAGAGATTATGTGGAAGAGGGGTAGAACATTAGGGCAGGGAGGATTTGGTTTTGTTTCATTGGCTTCTACTACTCATTCTCCTCTCATTCCATCACTTATTGCAGTGAAGTCTTGTATGTTGAGCCATTCTCACTCTCTTGAAGATGAAACTGAATTCCTAAGAATGTGTCAAGATTCTCCTCATGTTATTCGCTCTTTCGGAGTTAAAGTCACCCAAGAAGATGATATACTTCTTTACAACTTGCTCTTAGAATATGCCTCTGCCGGGAGTCTTGCTGATCGTCTTCTCAATAATGATCAACTAGGGTTGCCTGAGTTTCAAGTTCAACAACACACCAAGAATGTTCTTTTAGGGCTAAAGTTCATTCATCGAAAAGGGATCATTCATTGTGATATAAAGCCACACAACATTCTTCTTACTTCTACTGATGATGATGATACAGAGGAGGTTGCAAAGATCGCTGATTTCGGGCTTTCGTTAACTTTGGAACAGAGCTGGACGCAGAAACAGGGGATGAGAGGAACTAAAAGGTACATGGCACCTGAATCCATACTTAAGCAGGAGTATGGCCCAGAAGCTGATATTTGGGCACTTGGATGTACTGTTTACGAGTTGATCACTGGGACACCACTATGGGAATCATCCAATTCAGATCCAAAGTTTGATGATGTATTGCAACGAATTAAGTACGAGGAACCAAATTTGGAGAATGACAAACTGTCTACAGAGGCAAAAGATTTCTTGAGATATTGTCTGATCAAGAATCCAAAATCGCGTTGGAGTGCAGGACTGCTATTGAATCACTCTTTTCTGAAATCAGCTGACAGTGTCCTGCCTCCAAAGAAGCGGAAGAGGCAACATGGTTACATGTCCAGTTTACACAGGCCGCAACAAAAGAGAGCATTCAGGACACAGCCACACATTCGTCATTTGGTTATAGAACATTGATGCAGATTCTGAAGACGGAAACTCGAGTTTTTAGATAGATTGACTATAGAACATTGACACTGTATTATTATATATGCTTATAGTTTATTAACACTCAGACAACTTGTTATATGTAATTTTTGGCCATCATTGATGAGTGGCATCAATTTTTTTATAGTACGTGCCTCAATAAAAGGATTGGGGAATTCTATTCTATATCCTTGTTTAATTTCCAAATTCAAACTCTGTTTCCGATTCATGAATTATGTTTCTGCATCACATAGTAGTTAATACTCTTGTGTTGTTTCTAGTTGATATGTTTTCAGATGTTTCCATCTGTAAAACATGATTTATGTTTCCTACTTTTGGTAGCCCAAACTCTTCTTCGGACGTGCTTAAAAGTTGCCTAATGATCTCTTTTTCAAGATCAGCCAAAGGAATGACAAAGCGCCTCTAATCAGTTGTATATACTACAGATGGTCTTTTATATAGCTAAACTGATAATGCTGCTAATCCTTGATGATGAAAAGGCTCGATTTTTTATACAAGAGGCTGGAGACCTGAGTTGGAGTTGAAGTCTTTGTTGCTAACCATCAAAGGCAAAGCCATGTGTTCATGCCTGTTGCCCGTCGTGCTGATAAGGGACCTTATATTTGTGATAGATGCTAATGTAGTAGGATAAAGATGTCAAGTTTCTTCCTTCAAACTGCTCGATAACAGAATGGACACATCAGTTATCATATCAGGACTTCTCATTAATGCCTAGTAGTTTGAATCCTTCAATGAAGAATTGATAACTCAGTGGTGTATTATGTTTTTCTGGTAAAGAGCAAAATCATGTTATGCTTCCTGCAAAGAGAGTGTCATTAAGCAAAGAGAATGAAGCACTTCTTCCCTTTGCTGTGCACAATAACAACCAACAGGACTAAGTTAAAGTGGGATTAACTAATGAAGATCTAAAATATAAAGAAGTTAGTATATGAAAAAACCAAGGTAATTCAACATCTATTATATAAGCTTAAAAAACAATTTTAATCTTGTATGTATAATGTAATCTTTCGACCAAGGGGATTGGATGAACACTTTCTGGTACACAAGCTCCACCCATGCAGCTATCTTGCCAAATATAGTAGTAAAAAGTGCCTTAGGTCGGGTGATGTACCTCACTAAGCTATGATCAAAGCGATCACTCAGTTCAACTAGGAAGCACATAACAATTTTATCTACTAAAATATCACCCCTCTCTACCTAAGATCCCAACGTCACAATTCTATTTTTGTCTAAATTGCGAAGTAAATAAGCCTCTAAATATTGTGTTTTATTAGTTATGTCATCGTGTATACATCATCATTAAAATTCTTCATTGTCGAATGATATATTTTCTGCAAACTAGAAATAACATGTGCTATTTGATAGATCACTCATTCTTCTATTGAGAATAGACACGAACTCGTCCAAGAGAGGCATATACTGGCTGCCATGTGTAGTTTTTACAAATTTAGTTACATTTTAAAATTAATAATTTATTATAAAAAAATTACAACTAATATGGAACATAAACCTACCTGGTTGGTACATTATAGTTCCTCTGTTCCGTCTAAGTATCCACCAGTTGCAACTGTTTCTTTTTTTATAGCGTCTTCTTCTCAGCTTCCATTCCACCGATGTAAAAGACCAATCCCCCATTAAAGCACAGTCATGCTCGTTCGTCGTATGGGTTATTTCTCACCTTCACTTTCTATAAAAACCTCACCTTTCTTCTCTCTTCTCACAAAAACCCCTTTTCCATTTCATCATCTTCGTCCTATCCACTTCTTCAAACCAATTCACACCAAATCCCCACAAACCCATCTCTTTTCCATGAACCGAAAAACCCATTTCACCACTTCCGCTGCTTTCCTTCAAGAACCCACAAACACAAAAACCTTGTCTAACAGGTCGGCCAAGAAAGCCCGCCGTGACGCCCCTGAGAGTGTGCTACGTCATCAGTTAGACCAGTGTTCTAAACGGGGTGATTTACAGGAAGCAATTCGACTCTATGAAGAAGCTAAGTTAAACAATATTACCCTTAATGTTCATCATTATAATGTGTTGCTTTATCTTTGTTCTTCTGGTTCGGGTACGGAGGGATGTGGGATTGAGAAAGGCTTTCAGATTTTTAAACAGATGGGTGTTAATGGTGTTGCTCCGAATGAGGCGACTTTTACTAGTGCTGCTAGATTGGCAGTTGCTAAGCAAGACCCAGAAATGGCTTTTGATTTAGTGAAGAAAATGAAGAGTTTTGGTGTTCCTCCTAAGTTAAGATCATATGGGCCAGCGTTGTTTGGGTTTTGTGAAAAGGGAATGGCTGATAAGGCTTATGAAGTTGATGTACATATGGGGGAATCAGGGGTTGTGGCTGAGGAAGCAGAGCTTTCTGCACTGCTGAAAGTTAGTTCTTTTTCTAAAAAGGCTGATAAAGTATATGAAATGATGCATAGATTAAGGGGAAGTGTAAGGCAGGTGTGTGAAGAGACTGCTGGTGTAGTAGAGGATTGGTTTAATTCTGAATTTGCTGCTGAGGTTGGGCTGCAGGATTGGGATGTTCGGAAAGTGAAGGAAGGTGTTGTGAAAGGAGGGGGTGGTTGGCATGGACAAGGGTGGTTGGGAAAGGGGAATTGGACTGTAGTGAGAGCGGAGATGGATAGTTCCGGAGCTTGTCGTTCATGTGGGGAAAAGCTTGTGTGCATTGACATTGATCCCAAGGAGACAGAGAACTTTGCTAATTCTTTGGTTAAATTGGCTTGTGAAAGAGAAGTTAAGGCTAATTTTGTGCAATTTCAGGTTGGATGATTTTCTTCTGGTGCATTTTATAAAGTACTTGTTACATCAAATTTTACCCTTCTTCTTGGACTAAATGGTAGAATTGTATCCATTTCTAAGATTGTTGTGTCCAGTTGACTAAAGTGTTGATTAATTGTTTGAGTACTTGCCAGTATATCCTACATGGTTCATTGTATTAGTGATTTTAGAAGTCTCTTTTTTGTTTTGATGAAGTAATTGGCTTCATTAGTGGCATTAAAAAGATACAAAATAATTACAAAATATAGAAGCAATGCTGATGATAGTGACTGAGGGATCACATGGTGTCTGCTTTGATGAACTCCAAGGATTTTTGGTAGAAAGCCATTGTGTATCCATCAGGTCTTGTATAGCTGCTAACACTTTAGAAGTTTCAAATGTCTAACACTTGATTGCATTAAGCTTCTTCGCCTTATGGATGGCTTTGCCATAAAGTTTAGATTTGTACCCTTGCTGCTGCCATCTCAAAATCCAAGCACTAAAGTTAAATCAACCCCATCCAATAAGATAAATGAAATAATAGGGTACTCTGATTAGATCTACTATAATTGTAGATTATAGGTTGAAATTTCCTTATAGGATTTAGATGAAGGCCTCTATGATTTTTTTGATGAATTAATAAGATTTTGTTGTACATTTGGGCGAAAACCCGTGAAGTAGTAGTACACCAAGATAAGTAGAAAATCTACAATAAAGTATGATTTTCTACAAACGTCACCCAATTATCTATACATAAAGGAAATTTGTGGGTGCACGAATAAGGGCAAAGAGGTTATTCCTCAACTGTGCAAAATCACTCTCTACACCCTCAAAAGCTCCACTATTTCTTTCTCTCCAGACGACTCACATAAGTGTGAGTGGGGCAACTTTCCGGGCCCTATTTCTTCTCCTCTGCTTTCACAGTTCTAGGTAATTCAAGTTCTTTCAAAATGCCAGGCATAACCCACTGAAGGCCTCTATGATATGTCAGATCTAGTGATAGGTTATGCAGTGTTGGATGCAAACAATAAAATAGTATCATGGTGTTCAGATGTTGTAACGCCAAGAAATAGCTTGTCTGTTTGTTTATGTCAGCCTCTTAACTAGAATTAGCATTTAACACACTTGTGTGTAGTGATTTCTTTAAAGCATGAATCTTCTGAAGGATTGTTACCACAAATATATTCATTTAAAAAGTAGATAGAGCTGCTGGGTATTTCCAATATTTGTGTCTCCATGCTTCCGGCACTTAGTTCTTGAAAGAATATTGAACTGATTTAGAATTTGCACTCACTTAGGACTGGCTTCAGAAGCATGGTCCATTCGATGCTGTGGTGGATGGTGCAAATGTCGGCCTTATCACTCAACGAAATTTTAATTTCTCTCAGGTAACACTACGTCTTTTTCTGTTTCTTTACTTGTGTTTTTTGGGGGTTGTGGATGGGAGGGTAAAATTAGGGATGCAGTTTGATATCTGTATAGAAGCTAATCATATGTACATTTCAGCTGTAGAGAGGTGGACTTACTTACCGTCCCTCTTATCTAGTGTTATATTTAGTATGACCAAGAACTATTTGACTTACTCTGCATCCCTCTTCTCGTGTTATTTAGTATGACTAAGAAAGAGAGAGCAACACAGAATTACTGCCCCTTTCAGTTTAACTTTAAAGAAATTGATGATGCTGATGTGGAAAAGGTTGCAAAGTCTTCCAGTTTTAATTTATCAAAATGACCCTTATGCCCAGTTCCTTCCCACCCACCCAGGCACCCACAGTCTAGTATGGATACTTTACCTCTTAACTCATGATGGGCAACATGCCAACTTTCTCAAGATGGTGTTCTAGATTATAAGAAAAAGTTCATATAGATTTCTTTCTATTGCAGCTCAGATCTGTTGTCAATAAATTAAGGCAGATGAGTGAATCGAAGAAACTTCCATTGGTTATTTTGCACAAAAGTCGTACAACTGGTGGTCCTGCTCAACATCCTAATAACAAGAAGTTGTTAGAAAGCTGGAAGAAAGCAGGTGCACTTTATGCCACTCCACATGGTTCAAATGATGATTGGTAATACTCTTTACTTTGAGCTCTTATATGCAAATAATTATTGATGGCTAGTAGTTAGGTGAACTTATTTGTTTCCAGGAGAGCAAAACTCAAATATAATTAAATTTTATGGGAGAAACATCATCCTATTTAAACAGATGCCATCAACATAATAGTGATGTTGCTCAGCAAATTACTGAACATACCAAGAAACCCTTCTATAATTGGATCTGGTGGTATATCCATATCTCGTTTCTTGATTAACCTTGCTTTCTTACTGTTACTGCTAGTGTTCCCCAGCTGTTTGAGTCCACATTTCTGCTGACATTTCTTTCTTTCCTGTAACTGTTAGCCTGCTCTTTTTCTGTGTCCTTCCATTCAATTCTTTCTTCTTTGTTGGGACCAAAAGTCGCTCCTGCACACTTTTCTGCTTCTCTATTTGACTGTCTGGTTGTCATCAACATTTATCCTCTATTCAAGAGCAAATTCTTCTTCTCCACATTGCTCAACGCACAGATTTTTTTTTTTTGGGATCAACACACATAACTTCAACTCATCATGACATGGAGATCTGACATTGAACCTGAAACAATTGCTTCATCTTTCCATACTTTGCACGAAATTCTGACTTGGCACCAGATGCAAATTCTAGGTTGTACCAGACTCCCTTAATATAGCCAATGTAGCTCTTGTGCGTTGGTTTTTGTTTTGTGAGTGCTTTCATATTATGACCTTTAGTTCTGAAGATAGAGGCTACTTCACATGATAAAAGGGTTTGCTAGAGTTGTGGGTAACCTTGTAACAAAATAAAGGAGCTCTCTTTTCTGCAGTTACAAATGTCTGAGGCATAAGCTTATTCTCCAGGTACTGGTTATATGCTGCTGTCAGTTCCAAAGGCTTGCTTTTGACAAATGATGAGATGAGAGACCATTTGTTCCAACTATTAGGCACTAGCTTTTTTCCCAGATGGAAGGAAAAACATCAGGTCTAATCTCTCTCTCTCTCTCTCTCTCTCTATTTCAGTATTTTGACAAATTCTGTAACATGTTAAACAATGAAAAGTTGAAATCTTTATTACAGTGCTATAGAGTCCTCTTTCACACTTTCTACTAAAGATGGAGTAAAAAAAGGTATACTCTTTTTAGTGTATAGTAGCTTAATATCTGCTATAAGTAGGTTATGCCAAAATAAAAAAGAAGAAGAAAGACAGTTATGCCGAGGAAAAATTGAAGTCCTGTTGCACTGTTCCTATTAATGCCCATGATTATTTCAAATTACCAAAATACTTCATTATATCTGGTTGTCAAAGAATGAAAGATAGGTGCAGGGTTGTGAGAATTGAAGTTCTCCTAAAGAACTCGTCTGATGGAGCTGGAAGAGTTTATGTTATTGGGGTTAATGTGATGCTTTTAAATCAGGCAATCAGCAGTTAGATTCCTTAACGGTCTTCTATTTACAAATCACAGATCCGGATGACAGCTTCAAGAGATGACGGACTTAAGCTCCATATGCCACCACCCTATTCAATTGTTATTCAGGTGAGCTATCTCATGCCTAATCCATATAAGTTAAGCTCAGCTTAGCTGTTATTCTAATGTCCAACTCCACTTTGTACTTGTGAAATTGAAATATAGGAGTCGGAGCAGGGTTGTTGGCATGTGCCAACTCTTACTGGAGATGACCTTGAGATACCAAGACAGTGGGTATGTGCTACCAGGAAAAAAGCTCTGCACTCTCTATTTCGACGAAATGGGGAATCAAATCATTAACATATATATGTGGTTTCTGGGACAGCATCAGTGAAGCAACTATGTATGAGTGCCTTTTTCCTTTGAAGAAGCTTATAATTTGAACTTCTCAAAGGTTGTTGTAGATGGAGATCAGGAAGATCGCTAAATGCAAAAGTTCTGAATACAGTCAACATCTATATAACAGTCTACTTTCATTATCTTGTATACTAGTTTTTGCTTCTGTGTTCTGGAGTATTTCTGTATTTGGTCAAATTTTTTGCAACAATTTTTCCTGTTACAAGTGTTAGATGGAAAAAGTGCTGCCACAATAGAAGAATGGCGCCTTTGAAACTCAAAGAGGATATTCCTGCATTTTTAATACTTAATTGGCTGGTCCCTGAGTACAAGAAGAAAAACAGCTTATGAAGTTCAAATTATTTTCCTTTGAATAGAAAGATCTATTTGATCAGTTGAACAATTTGGCTAGAGTTTGATTATCAGTATTGTCTCCTCAGAGAATTTCTGTGTATAGTTTTTTATTGCAGGAATCAAATTCTTCAAAGAACACCAGGAATATGGTTTCAATTGATTTAATGACAATGGGATTGGAAGCTCTGCATACACCGTTGGTTCCAAGAAGTTGGACAACTGTTGGGGTATATTTCCCATCTTGCAAGCCGAGCTGCAGTTTGACATCTCACTTTTATTCATTAACACACACACACACCCCAAATCCAAACTCCATGACTACATATTACCCCTCTTTGGTGCTCCTAGTTCCAGTATCTTAATAATCTGGATAAAGTATAAACTCATCTAATTCTGTGTATAGTCAATTTTCTTATAAAACTTTGTATTACTTTAGTTAGGTGGTTTCCTGCCAAAAGCACAATCTGGAGATTGATAGGCAGAGGCAGATCAGATCTGGAGGTCGAACTAGCTTGAGGAGCAAATGCCAACTGCACCTCACTCTCTTGAAGAAGTATGTTTTCTGTTAATATATCCCAATTCTAATAGATATCATATCAATATACAATGTTGGAGCTGAAAGCAATCCAAACCCCCACTACATATACACTGTGTTTGCCCCTGTCGACATATATACTTGTTTTGTGCATGCATTCCTTATTGTTCTCTTGAATTTATCTTTTTTTTTCTTCAATATGGATGGCTAACAATGACAAGGGGAAGTATTGGAAACAATGCATAAAGTTCTCTTGGCTAGCAATATCCAGAGGATTTCAAAGGGAGGGAGATCCATCTTCTACATTTAGCCAACTTTAGGAAAACTAGTATGCATATGATATGTTATAATTGAAAGTAATTTGCGTACTCCCTCTTCGAATAAGACAAAAGCAATAGAGACAGGTTCTCATGTAGCTGCAATAATTTTTTTTTATGTGCACATGACATTTCTCAACTTATGACATCATCATCAGCCAAAACTAGGATCATCAGGATGGATATGTAAGACTTTAGCTTTGACTAGTTAGGTCTGAATCTCACTAGTCAAAAACTAATTTCAAGGGGTTAACATACTAACAAATGCTGAGGATTTTATATAACCTGCAATATAAAATGTGATTTTGCGGAGTTACATCCAAGTTTCCTAGGTAGATTCGTAGTTTATGTTGTGACATGGGTACCTAACATAACAATAACAATAATCCACTTTTCAGTAAGTCAGGATTCTAAACAAAAATTTCAGGGTTCTTGGGAAAATATTACATTTTCAAAAAGCCACTTTTGATCAAGGGTTCTTGTTGAAATGCTTGAGGGTCTTTGGTAGTGACTATGAAAGGAACCATTCGTAGTAGCTATAACTGAATATTCCTGGTTTGATAATGTTGCAGTTGATCAAATCAGTGTCTTCTGAAAATCCAATAACTATTAAGCAGCATGTTCGGAGGAGCCCTTTTTATGCTTTGTTTCAGTCTATTTTTGGTCCCTTGAGGACTCTATTCTTTACATTGAGTCCTCTTTAGCTTCCGCTTCTTCAATAAGAAAGATCAATGTCTGATCTTCATGCCATGATCAATGAGGACCCACAAATAGACTTTATGATCTTCAATGTCAGATCTTCATACCATTATCAATTTGTTTCTCACTCTACTTTTCAGGTTATCATATCATGCTTGATATGAGTTACACTTTGTCATGAGTCAGTGTAACCTGATAGTGCTCAGAACATGAACTCAAATAATTTTTTTTCCATCTTTTACAAGCACATCATGGCAGAATAATTTGAACAAAATAATGCTCTACTGAAACTTCTTAAAGGAGCTTAAAGGCATACTGATTTGCATTATCCAAGTCCATTTCAGCAGGGATTACAGGTGTGAGAAGTTAAGATAGGGTTAAAACAGATTGCAAAGAGCAGAGATGCTGATTGATTATAGTAGAAAGGAGCAATGTTGGGAGAAACGTTCATTTTAGAGATATTTGTAATAACCTGGTTCACAGTACTACCAGGTTATTTGGTGAAGGTCTCTTTCGCAATGGCATAGTCCAGACAAGGCAATATCCCATCTAAAGCTGTGTGAGCAGTGGGGTTTTGACTCCATTGCTACACAAGTGTATGTAGTCGTGCTGAAATGCACAGATAATTAAGAACAATTAGAGATGTTTCACATACTGGATATGATAAAAAGATAGATTAAAAGTAAGAATATTAGAGGTACCTTGAAAGGAAGTCTACATTGGGTTTTTGTGTTGTTGGAAGTAAGACTATACAACAACATACCCAGTGTAATCCCGTAGGTGAGGTCTCTAGACCTTAATCCTTACCCCTAGCTCGTGGGGGTAGAGATGTTATTTTCGAGAGACCCTTGTCTCAAATAACTTGAAAGTAAGACTATGAATGTCATATTTGATGTGATCCTCCAAAGTTACTTTGAGAAGTTGTACATGACCTTTTTCTCTATTTATGGTTTAGTTGTAGAATATGTAACTTCTTTTGTATCTAACATTATGTTAGAAGTTCTAACTCTGTTTTATCCTGCTTTAGGAGAAGCTGTATCCATAGAGGAGTTGCTTGCCTAATGCGAGAAGAGATCTCAGTAAGAGTAATGAAACAACATCATCAGTGAAATACTTGCCAAGAGCAGCTTACTTGTGAGTTGTGGAGAACAAGAAATATGCCACATAAATATAATGCCCCAGTGATGAGAATCCACCAAAAAATCTAACTTGCTTATTACCACCAGTGAAATTTGGCAAGCAAGAGTAACTCACAAAAATGAATCATCTTAGATTTACTTCACAAATCATACAGCTCTGAAAAAGTAGCAAACTGTAACTTATTTGATCACACAACAACAAAAGTTTAGTTCATAGCTTAAATCATGAGAAACTATCTGTAACATTATCTCCGGTCCATTTTCATTGTCGTATTGCCTCAAAATGTCACCTAGGAAATTCAAAATATAAATTAGTTTGCATTTTCAACTATACTCTTGTATCAGAGAATTAAAACTATATGACCAACATTTTAATTGGAAAAAAAATGCAATTTTGTAGTATTTTCTTGAATATTTTAATTTTAATTTCAAAAAATCAAATTAATTTAATATAATTTAGCTATGAAAATTAGCCAAATTGTCAAATCATAAAATGAAATATGACATTTGCATGAAATGAAGTTATTAAGTGACCTGGCAGAAGGCAGACCTCATCCCAAACGGATAAAAGAATCCCATAAAAATAATAATAATATCCACTCCCATAAGGCATTGGCGTTTCTCCACACAACAGCAGAGAAAAAAAACCAGAAATGGCGCTGAAGCCATTGTCTTCCATATTCCCAAATTCAACAAATCCACCATTAACACCTGCAAAACCCCATCATCAAAACATAGGGCTATCAAGAAGAGATTTCATCAATGTTGGTCTTTCTGTAATGCCACTACTCATATCTCCTCCTCCGCTTTCCATTGCTCGAGAAGTTGAAGTTGGTTCTTTCTTGCCTCCATCTCCTACTGACCCTAATTTTGTTCTCTTTAAAGCCACTCCGAAAGACACTCCTGCTCTTCGTGCCGGTATTATGTCGACCACTCTTCATTCTTATTATCTTTCCTAAACTGGAAAATAACTGTTTTATTCATTTGATTTTTGGGTAATTCTGTTTAGTTTTATATAGTTGTACCAAATTACTTTGTTTGCTCCAGTTTGCTATAAGCTTCTGCAAAGCAATATCCTCATAACAAACTCATTAAACTGAAAGAATATTGATTGTATTAGAGCTAGAAGTTTAGGCAAAGTTATGTGGATCCAGGAACAATATAGCTTTTAAATTGGACACAAGACAAGTCTCTCTAATTACTTTGATAGATTACCTCTTAGGCAGTGAAAAATCCAAGATTTTCGCTTAGGGGGTTCGAAAATTGAATTTGGAAGCTCAAGGTAATTTTGAATCCCTAAATCACTGGGCCAACCTCTTGTCTTGTGTTTAGGAGATTCAAAATTTATATAATCGCCAAGGGGGTTCTGATGAGCAGCTCTGCCTCCCTAAATCTGCCCCTGCCCTTAGGTGCCTAGTTAATTACCCGTATTCTGGAACTTGCCTATTTCAAATCCCAAGCCTAAAACTAGTTAGTACTTGTATTCTCATTACTTTTTAGGAATTTATCGTGAAAAACAAGTTCCAAGCTCCTTTGAGAAAATAGTTTGTAGTCAATGTCTGTGTGAAACTTGTGAAGAACCAAAGATATGGCAACAGATTGACAGGTAGGGGCCATGTTATAATGCATTTGCTGGTATTATGCAACATTTGGTCTAAGGGATCCTAGTCCATGCAACCTGCATTTGTTGCTGCACAAGTTTTTGTTTGACTAAAATATTCTGCCATTTGATGTTTTTATAGTTTTCGGATTAATAAATGGTGTTGGCAGTTACGTTGAATAAATTAATAAGTATCTCTTTTGTGGTGCGGACCTCGTCCTTGCTGAGAAATATGCAAGTTCAGATATGAGGGTGCTATCATAGTGTTCTCTTAATTGGCACTTCATTTCTTACCCACCTGTGGACTGCTGTGGGTGTTTGTCCAATCAAGTGATGCCAATTTCTTAGTTATAACACTGTTTCTAGTAGTAGTTTTTCTTCTTCTTGTTCTTCTTTTTAGTTTATTTCATATCTTCTTGATATGCTTATGAAGGTTACTATTTACATAAATTGATGTTTCCGATTTCTACTTTTGTTTCTCCTGTAGATTGCTTATGATGCTTTATATTTAGTTTCTTGCAGGAAATGTGCAGCCTTACACATTTATTCTTCCTCCAACCTGGAAACAACTTCGTATAGCTAATATATTATCTGGAAATTATTGCCAACCCAAGTGTGCAGAGCCGTGGGTGGAGGTAAAGTTTGAAGATGAAAAACAGGGTAAAGTTCAAGTGGTGGCTTCTCCTTTGATCCGTCTCACTAACAAACCTAATGCAACTATTGAAGACATTGGGACCCCTGAGAAAGTCATTGCTTCTCTTGGCCCTTTTGTCACTGGAAACACACTCGATCCAGATGAACTCCTTGAAACTTCTATAGAGAAACGTGGTGATCTAACGGTGATAAGTCATTTTCTTTTTCTCAGTCATTTATCATATTGAAAAACTCATCTTTTCCCCCTTATCTTCATCCCTTATTCCCAACACATAGAGGACTGGCATGGCTAGCAACCTTGTCTCTGTTGGTTTACTCCCAAGTCCTAAGCTATACTGAAACATGGAAGGAAATGAGTTGCTTAGTTGATACTCGATACCTTAAAATCTCAGCAGGGAAAATGACATGAAGATATCCATAGGTTGTATCTGCTGCCCTGACAATATGTAACAGCCTGATTTAGCAAATGTTAGGAGCAGCATAGTTATGTTTTTCCTGGAAAAGAAATCAGAATCTGGTTCTACGATAATGATTTCTCTGTTAGTGTGCTTTTATGAGGGACATGTTTGTTAGATCTGCCAAAATAGCATGCTACTGTGTGTACCTATGTATTCCATAGAACAATGTATTTCTATACTCTTGGTCTTCCTGTTATCCGCAACAGTTCCTCTTTAAATCTCCTGACGAAGAGAATGCTTCTATCTTTGTGTTTGCAGTATTACAAGTACGTTCTTGAAACTCCATATGCTCTTACTGGATCGCACAACCTAGCAAAGGCAACGGCTAAGGGAAATACAGTTGTTCTCTGTGTGGTCAGTGCCAATGACAAGCAGTGGGCATCATCACAGAAAACTCTACAGGCTATTCTTGATTCCTTTGAAGTGTAGTTCCTTCCCCTCTTGTCTTAATTTAGATGAACCGTCTTCATTTTCACTGTGTGTTCCCTTACATAGAGTGTCATAGGATGAATGGCTTGAAATGCCTTTTGTAACGCAATAAACAAGAATTGCTTCTGTCGAATCCAGATTATATTGTTGTTTTTATTGTATCCCCCTTTTCAATTGTATACGTATTCTATACCCTTCAATTGTATCATATCAAGACAAATGCACGAGTGAGTGCTCTACTGTAAACTACTGTTTTTGTTCACATGGTTGTATTTGTGTACAAGCTAAAGTTTTTTGAAAAACGAATATATTTGGTCACTTTCACCGTCACAATGTTTTGGAGCTTCTAATTGCAATGTCCTCATGTTAACTTAGAGAGGTAAACAATGTGAACACCAAATAAAGAGTAAACACAAAAATGTGTTCATACATATTTCATCTTTTAATCTCTGGTTTCTAGTTAGCTAAAAGAAAAAAATTCCTCCTTGATGTTATTGTAACAAAAGAATAAGCTCAGCTAATGTATAAACGCCTAATCAATAAATAAATTAAATTATTTCCCTTTATTCTAACTTTATATAACCACCCTTTCTGCATATAAAAGGTCAGTGTCTTTTTGATTATTTTTTCCTATTATTCCTTTTAAGTTGGGGGAGATTATTATAATATTAGGAAAATATATAATAATATATCTATTCAGACACAAGTCAAAAGTAAATCTCATAGGTGAACATATGGAACTAAAATAAGATCTCAAATTGACATCTTTATATATCGATTTATCATAATAATAAATAAAGTCAATGACTCTGGATGAAAAGGATCCTCCTTCTTGCTTGATAATAGTGAGCCTTGAACCTTACTTTGTTATATTTAAAATATTAATATGAAATTAATTTGCAAAAGAAAAAAACTTTCTCTATCCGTAAAAGTAAGGTTACAAATTATGAATATATTTTTCTTTAAACTTCGTATCAAAATCAAAGTAAAACTATATTCTACAAATTAAAACAAACATAATATGTCATATTTTAACAAATAGTTTCAACAATTGAAAGTGCGTAGAAAGAAAGCAGTGAAGTGAACATCCTGCTACTTTTTTGGAGTTTTGACAGAACTCTCTACTCATCTCCACGGGTTGCGGACTGTCCATTCGGATTCGGATTGGGAATCGGAGCCGGAGATCGGTGATGGCTACCGCCG